AATCATCATCCATCCAACATGTAATCATGATCCATCCATCCAACATGTAATCATCATCCATCCATCCAACATGTAATCATCATCCATCCATCATCCATCCATCCATCCATCCAACATGTAATCATCATCCATCCATCCATCCAACATGTAATCATCATCCATCCATCCAACATGTAATCATCATCCATCCATCATCCATCCATCCATCCAACATGTAATCATCATCCATCCATCCAACATGTAATCATCATCCATCCATCCAACATGTAATCATCATCCATCCATCATCCATCCAACATGTAATCATCATCCATCCATCCAACATGTAATCATCATCCATCCATCATCCATCCATCCATCCAACATGTAATCATCAACCATCCATCCAACATGTAATCATCATCCATCCATCCAACATGTAATCATCATCCATCCATCATCCATCCATCCATCCATCCATCCAACATGTAATCATCATCCATCCATCCAACATGTAATCATCATCCATCCATCCAACATGTAATCATCATCCATCCATCATCCATCCATCCATCCAACATGTAATCATCATCCATCCATCCAACATGTAATCATCATCCATCCATCATCCATCCATCCATCCAACATGTAATCATCATCCATCCATCCAACATGTAATCATCATCCATCCATCCAACATGTAATCATCATCCATCCATCCAACATGTAATCATCATCCATCCATCATCCATCCATCCATCCAACATGTAATCATCATCCATCCATCCAACATGTAATCATCATCCATCCATCCAACATGTAATCATCATCCATCCATCATCCATCCATCCATCCAACATGTAATCATCATCCATCCATCCAACATGTAATCATCATCCATCCATCATCCATCCATCCATCCATCCAACATGTAATCATCATCCATCCATCCATCCATCCATCCATCCATCCATCCATCCATCCAACATGTAATCATCATCCATCCATCATCCATCCATCCATCCATCCAACATGTAATCATCATCCATCCATCATCCATCCATCCAACATGTAATCATCATCCATCCAACATGTAATCATCATCCATCCATCATCCATCCAACATGTAATCATCATCCATCCATCATCCATCCATCCAACATGTAATCATCATCCATCCATCATCCATCCATCCAACATGTAATCATCATCCATCCATCCATCCATCCAACATGTAATCATCATCCATCCATCATCCATCCATCCAACATGTAATCATCATCCATCCATCATCCATCCATCCAACATGTAATCATCATCCATCCATCCAACATGTAATCATCATCCATCCATCCAACATGTAATCATCATCCATCCATCATCCATCCATCCATCCAACATGTAATCATCATCCATCCATCCAACATGTAATCATCATCCATCCATCCAACATGTAATCATCATCCATCCATCATCCATCCATCCATCCAACATGTAATCATCATCCATCCATCCATCCATCCATCCATCCATCCAACATGTAATCATCATCCATCCATCATCCATCCATCCATCCATCCAACATGTAATCATCATCCATCCATCATCCATCCATCCATCCATCCATCCAACATGTAATCATCATCCATCCATCATCCATCCATCCAACATGTAATCATCATCCATCCAACATGTAATCATCATCCATCCATCATCCATCCAACATGTAATCATCATCCATCCATCCATCCATCCATCCAACATGTAATCATCATCCATCCATCATCCATCCATCCAACATGTAATCATCATCCATCCATCATCCATCCATCCAACATGTAATCATCATCCATCCATCCAACATGTAATCATCATCTATCCATCCATCCATCCATCCATCCATCATGTAATCATCATCCATCCATCCATCCATCCATCATCCAACCATCATCCATCCATCCATCCAGTGAGGAACTCTTTCCCGTGGGTCATACAGGCAGTGATAACCTGTAGTACTTCTATAATTAATAGTAACAGTGATCCAACGGATCTTCTAACAGTTTTGGTTCTGCTTTGTATTTTAGATTTTTATTTAGCTTCATATATCAATCATAGAATAAACCAGAGATGTAAGTGACGAATGAGGACATTATACAGGAGGAAACACATGCAGAAAAGGAAAAAGGTTGAAGAAATTATTTGTCAAGAACATATTTTGGTTTTAAGTTCTTTTATTGAGACGTTTAAGTTCCATTTCCCATTTATTCTAAACCAATGAAAGGATACATCAGCATTTCCTAACAGCTGATTGGCTGCTGGGAAAGCCAGTCGGTTACCATGGTAACCAGCCAGGCTAAGAATGCACTCAGCTTTACCTTATTGGACCCACCATGGCCCCAAATAAACATTTAAAGAAATCTGATCAATAAGAAGCATTTGTATAACATTTCCAATCAATCTGACTGAAAGCTCTTCGCTTTGAAACATTTCCTGCTCAGGAATCATTTAGGCTTTAATCAAAGAATCTATTTAGAAAAAAAAAACATTTGGTTTATGATCATTAGAGTTTACTGGGTTAATAAAGGGAGACATAACTAATGAAAAGATTAAGATAAACAATATATTTACTAATGTCCTTTCACCGAATGTTCACTAATTTAAAAGGAATTTAAAATATTTCATAGCAACTCGAACTGCAGTTAAACTTCTTTTTATTTCATTATAATCACTGCTTTAGTTTTTATTTTCTTCATCACTTCTTTCTTTTCAAACTTCAGATTTTTTGTGACATTAACACGTTTTTAGGTTTTGGAAACAAAGGTTCTCATTTTATTAAGGGGTTTTTAAAAGTGAAATATTTTGTTTTTCTTTAATCCTGTGTTTTGCTGAGGGACGCCTCTTTTTTATCCCATGGGTCCATAAGTCTCCTCCTAAAGCATCGTTTCTCCTCCATTTTAAAGGATGGGTCAGTTTTATCCTTTAAATCTAACATTTTGTTGTTACGTGGAAAGTGTTTTTAATCAGGCATCAAGGCGGACACCTGTCCCGCCATGACGCATTTCTTTCACGCAGCTGATTTTCCCGACATCACATCAATCTGTCACAACTATGTTATATTTATCTACAGTTTATCTAGACTGTTACTCTTCCTTTTTTTACTTTATTTATTTCCTGCCAAATAAAACTGATCCTAAAAGTCAAGCTAACGTCACCAAACATGATCCCGTCTCAGATTAAGTGGAAAACCAACTAGTCCAGAACACCTTAAAAATAAAACCTAACTTATTAAAAGTTTATAAGTTTAAATTAACTGTATGTCAACAGAAACAACAGTCGGTAACCAGAGACTGTTTATCAATTCGGTCCCTGAAATGAGCTACGCTACAGAGTTAGCTTTTAGCTAAAAACTGTTCCTACCGGAGAGGAGCAGCAGGAGCAGCGGGACGGTGTGCGCTAGTAGGCGGCCTGTTCCTGTGGCGAAGGAGCCCTTCCTGCGGAGCATCATCAGAGGAGGTCTGGATGAACAGAACCACTGCGATGTTACCTTATATGGGCAAAAACCTACTCTGCTTCCGCTTTGGTAGAGCAGGAAAGACCGGCCTTTAAATTGATTAGCATAAAATATTCATCAGTTTTTATTCAGGAACAATAAATAAAACCATAAATATTAACTTAACACTGAGTTTTTAAACAGAGTCCACCGTGAACAACGCCCCCTACCGTCCAAGAGCGGAAACTACGCATGTTAAATAACTGCTGGCTCCATCACGGTCACGTGGACAACGACTATTAGAGCCAATAAAAGACGAAAAATGGAATTTAAACGTGTTTAATGATTAATTTTGGGCATATTTACGAGGTTATAAAGATGCAAATATAGAAGGAAACCAGTAGAAAATGTAGGAGAATAAATAGGCAAACAACATGTAAATTCAGGAGATTATAAACATGTAAATCTATCATTTGTTTTTACTTTGAAAACCTCCATGAGGAGGCCATTGTTCGCAGGGGCGCTGCCAGGAATATGGGGCCCCATGAAAGACATTGATATAGGGCCCCACCTTGAAAAAAAATGTATCCAAGCTTTAAAACTGCACTGAAGAGTATCATTTACATTTAAATGTCATTTTTATTGTACAATTTCTACAAAGGAAAATGATCAGAACATAAAAAAGTTAAATATACACAAACTTTAAACTTCTATACTGCTGGATAAAAACCTGGTCAATGCTTTGCTTCACTGTTTACGGCTGATAAATGAGGGAGGAAACAAAAAGGATTTATTTTACTGCTGGATTTTCTTTTTATATTTGAAATATCTTTTGGAACATATCTTTTCTTCTTTTAGTTGGTAATGCCTCCAATTAATTATGCATTCAGGGAGCTGAGATTGAGATAGTGGACTCTCTAAGTACCTAGGTGTTCATCTGAATAACAAACTGGACTGGACTCCCAACACTGAGGCTCTGGATCAGAAAGGTCAGAGCAGAGTCTTCCTACTGAGGGGGCGCTCCTGAAGACCTTCTCTGACTCTGCTGTGGCATCAGCCATCTTCTATGGAGCTGTCTGTTGGAGCAGTGCTGATCTGTAGCTGAGAGGAAGCGGCTGGATCAGCTGATCAGGAAGATCAGCTCTGATTGGATGCCCTCTGGACTCAGCGCAGGAGGTGGAAACAGACGGATCCTAACTAAATGAAGAATTTCCCCATCGTGTGACAATAATAAGATGTTTTATTCTATTCTGCGCTTTATGCAGCGTACTTGAACATATATTATATAATCTTGTTTTGTTCCACTAATCTACATTTAAATATTGCTAATTTGTTACTTTGAAAGAATAATTTGCGTGCTTATTCTCTTACAAATGGCACTTTGAAGTCAAACCTGTAAATTCAGTGTTTGTTACGTCTTTAATGGCCCCAATATGCAGACGGCTTTATAACATTTATATGCCTGAATAAAAAGCAGGATAATAAGCTGCAGACCTTCCAGTCGATGGGAAGTTTTAAACAAAGCGCTGGCTTATTTCTCAAAGTGTTCACTTTATTTTATCATAAACATCCCGACAGTTCTTACAAAGCAAGTGTCAATCATTAATGAAAAACATACAACAGGTCTAGTGACATTAAAATAGTACATACCCCTCATTAAAAATGAAAATAAATAGAACCTTTTGGTTTAATATCAAAGGAAACTTCTACAAAATGCCAACTTTCCAAGATTCCAAACTATAACTATGCGTCTGCCTGGTTTATCCTCTAAAAAATCTCATGGTGTTCTAGTTCCGGTACATTCTCTGGTGCCACTTCAGAAAAGCACGTTTTAAGGCACAGTTGGATGATCTGCAGCAGACGGTCGCTGCTGCCAGCAAAGGAAAACAAACTATATGAACAAATCTACATAGAAAGAACTGAATCCATACTCATTAGCAGTAAAATAATCAGCTCCTGTCGTTATGTTGCAGTAATATAAAGGTGCAGCAGGCAGCGATGGGTGCAGTGTTTAATCCTGCCCGATGGAACCGGAGCGAACCGGTCTGAGGTGGACACTCTGACCACGGCGCTCATTTAGTCCGCTACGAAAGAACTATAATAAATCCAGTAGAAATAATAGTGAAGGAGGTGGAGTGGGACCTGCAGGAGACAGTGAACAGGTCTCACACACGCGAACCAACCGAGTGGCTTCATTTCATCTGTTGCCACGGCGATGGACCTCTGCTGATGCATAATCTCTGGGTTGAGCCGCAGACGTCCGGATTATCTGCTGCGTTTTTGAGAAGCGATCCCAGCAGAGATTTTCCCGAATGAAGCCAGATGCGGAGCGAGCGCCGGGCCCCGCCCCGCCCCCCGCTCCGCCCCGGCAGGGAGCCGTGGAACAGAACCAAAGTAATAAATACTCCATATACTTTGTTTTAAACTCTATGACACTTGAAGTATAAAAAGAAGCTCTGCACCGCTGTCAGTTCTATGATACAGGAGGGGCCACCCACAGCGCGGCCCCTCATGAGAAGCCTGAGGAGTTCGGGGGCCCGTGTTGCGATTGGTGGGACACGGCGTTGGTGGCGTTCTGGTGCGAGCTGGAAGCCCTCAGGGGGGTGCTGCAGCCCTGGGCCTGCGGGAAGCGCTGGTGGTACCGGTCCAGACGCAGATACTTGACCGTCACCAGCTTACCTAAAGTGGGAGGAACGGCGGTTAATCCGGAAGCACCGCCCACAAGGAGCCAGTGACCTCGGCGTGGAGCTTACCGTCGAACCAGGAGCCGTGCAGCGCTTTGAAGGCCTTCCCAGAGTGCTCTGCAGACAGACACTTCACGTAGACGCAGCCCTGCGGACACAGCGGAGAACATGGAGCCCAGCCGTCATTAACACCCCCCCCCCGCTCAGCGGCGCACGGCTTACCTCCTTAGAGTTCTTGTCTACAGAAATGTGGACGATGCCGTCGTTGTCGCTGCATTTCTCCAGGATGGCTTCCTGGATGGCCACGTCCCAGCTGTCCCCGACCTCCCTGCAGACAGGAGGAAACGGTCAGACCTACGAGCAGCGGCGCTCTAGAAGGCGCTGGAGGCGGGCTTACATGTCCGGGTCAAACATGTTCCTGATCTTCAGACACGGCGTCAGGCTGTTTGGCGGAGAATTCCTGCGGTCCAGAGGGAAAGCTGGAAAAAAAATGGAAACATGTCAGCGCTTCGACCATCATCGGAGAGATGTTAGAAAGATGGCCGACGGAGGAAGCGCCACCGTGCCAGGTGGCGGACGCTTCCACTGCGACCAGGAGGCCGATCTGCGGGTCCCTCTTCCTCCAGTGACGCTTCCTCCCTTGGCAGCAGACACAAACCTTTTCCCTGCCACACTTTGGATTTGTCGCAGCTGAGGGACGGCTGGATCCACCGCCACACCAGGAAGTCTGCTCCCTTGATGGTCTGGGTCTCCGTTCGGATCCTGGACTCGTTGGCAGAGAGGAACTTCACGGCTCGATTCCAGACCGTATTCATCTTCCTCCTGGGAAAGCGTCCAGATGTCAGCTTATCCACCGCATCAATGAGCCGCCGCAGTCTGAACGACCAACTCACCGATCCTGAGGCTGGAGCAGCGAGTCTCTGACGTGAGGGATGGGCAGATACGGCTCCAGGTCCCGGTTCTCCTGGCAGGCCTCGCCGTGGGTCCTGAGCACATCTGGACCAGAACAAGCCAGTCAGTCAGTGAGAACAGGATGAGAGCAGACGTTCAGAGCGGCCGTCCTCACCGATGATCCTCTCCACCATGTCGTACATCTGCCTGGTCTCCTCCTCCTCCCTCCTCCAGCGGTGCTTCACGTAGCACACGGCGCTCCACGCCAAGCCTACGACTACACGCATCATCCAAACAGAGCGTCAGGCTGAGCTTTAACTCGTCACGAAGGATCAACCAGAACCGCTGTGGTCCACTCACCAACGACCACCAGGACCACTTTGCTCACGACTGAGAGAAAGGCTCTGCGGAAGCGGCAGGCGAACGGCATCCTGGGATGAGTGGATTCTAACCAGGAGATCTCCGACACGTCCGTCACCGGATCATCTGATCCGCTAAGCCTGGAAAACACAAACCGCTCCGGATCAGTTGGCTCCCAGCGTCAGGCTGTTCAGTCCGTTAGCCATATTAAGCTACACTACGTTTAACTTCCTGTCAACAACAACCGTTCCTTTTCTACAAGTAGAATAAAGGTTTTATTGGTTTGGTGTAGAAGGCTTCCAGCCGTACATGTTTGAGCCCTTGCCTCGCAACGCTGCCAGTTCTGTTAGCTCTACGCCTGCTGAAGACACAGACGTCCATCCCTGTGAACACTGGGACGCAACTCCATGGGAAAGGAAAGGATTCTGGTTTCAACCGTTGCGTATTTTAGCTGCGACACATGAATCAAGATGCTATGACCGATAAAAATTGATTGACAGATGACCGTTGATCTATGATTGATATATGATCAGGCTGACGTAGAACTAACTGGCCTGCAGAAGATAACAGGAAAAAAACACAGATTTTAAGACAGGATTTTTTTTTTTTATAGAAATGTTCTAAATTTTGGGGCAAAATAGTCTGATAAAGAGTATATTTATGTACATGTTTAAGCCAGAATGATTTAACATTTAAATATGAATTCCCTACGACTTGAAGAAATGGGTGAGATCAGATCTGGTACCTACAGCAGCAGGCAGAGCTGGAAATCCCCGGTGAAGCTGCCTAAAGGCTGTCGGGGATTTCCTGTTCAGTGTCGCCAACTAAGAGCTTTTCTAGCTAAATCTGCCGCCATTCAGACCCCTCCAGTGCCTTTACTTTAAAAAAAAAAATCTGTTTAAAAACATTTCTGTTCTAATGGAGACTTTGGCGACATAAAAGCACTGAACTCTGTCCTCCTGAGCGAGTGGATCTTTAGCCTCTCTCTGCCTGCGCTGCAGCAGAGTAAACGTTTCCACTTTGAATCCAGATTGTAAATGAAATGTGCAAAGCTGCAGCTAATCCAGCCCTGAAATGCAAAACTGAATCATGAAAATTATTTTGAACTGATGTTCATCTCACATAAAATAACTGCATTTTAACAGCTTCATTCTCTCCTCTTATGACCTCCACGTATCTCCACCCTGCTGCAGCTTTCTTCTTCTTCTTCTTCTTCATGTTTTTGTTAAGTTTCAAACAACAAATACAGCATTTAACCCACCAATAATTACCAAGGGTGGAACTAATCTGCTGAATTATATGCTTGATAAAACTCTCTCTGCGCTGCTTGGACAGACAGCCACAAAAAATAAATGAATGACGTATGCAAATGATGCAATGACATCATCACGCCTTCTAGGACAGCCGATACAGACGCGTCCTGCTGTATTTGGCAATGCCGGCCGTGTGGAGCAGCTTGGAGGGAACATAAAGAGTTTTTAAGGTTTGTGGTAAAAAAAAAAAACAAGAACTAGAAAATAAAATCTACTTTTGTTTGATGCAGGTTTTAATACCTTTAGTTAATGAAGGTATTTATAAACCGTTTCGCTGCAGTGATTGAGTGGATTAATAAGGCCTGGATTCTCTTTCTGATTGGTTGGCTCAGATTTCTGAACTCCAGTGTAGATCTAAAGTTTTAAAAATGTTCCCTGATCTTCAGCCAATCCACTACTGCATTAAATAGAAATCTAAATAATTCATTTTGTTCTTAAATTAAGGAGGTAAGAGAGACACTTTGCCAAAGGAACAAGACAATTTACATTTCAAATAAGAAAAACTATTGAATTGTCTTTTTCTGGTACATATTATCTCATTATCTTGTTTTAAGATTTAAGATAATAATTTAATTGGCAGATCATCTTATTTACCTGCTCAGATTAAGGCTAAATACACTTAATTTTGACCGATTTCTAGATTTTTGCAGTTAGATGCCAATATTCTCTGGCCTCCAAACCAAACCCAGACTAAGAACTCTGAGCCCGGTTTGAAACCCACAGCGACCCAAAGGTCAGAATGAGGAGATTAATCTCCTAGTCTCTGAAATGATCAAAGATCAGAGTTTGTCAGTCAGACGAAGCAATAAGATCCGACGGTTCTGAACCCGCCTCCCCATCAGCTCCACACACCCAACCACTGAAGGTGGATTAAAGGTTCTGATCCAGATCTCCCTGGAACCCAGACCCGTGGCTGAGGACTCACCTGATCCCAACATCCTGATTGGTTCTGATGATCCACTCCAGAGAAACATCAATAAAACCTTTAAAGGCTCCATCCTGGGCCTGAAAACATAAAGAAACATCAGATCCCAGATTATTCCGCCTCTATTCCAGGAGGAGCGTTCAGACTAATCCTAGTCTGGATTATTGACCCACCTCCAAATATTCTGCCACCTTCTCTCTGGACAGACTCCTGTTGGGAAACCGCTGGTCTCCACAGTCATGGTGACCTGGAAGAGAGTCAAACAGGAAACCAGTGGTGAGCATATAATCCCAGGTTAGGACCTAATCTCATAGAAGGATCATGTAAACAACCGATCCTTAAACTTAGACAGGTTTTATTTATTTGTATTATTATTTCCTTTGTATTATTTATTTATTCTTAAAGGTTTTGTGCAGCGAACATGAAGGATTAGAAGAGCTGAATGACAGATTATAAGCGTGGGGTGATAGAGAGTCGGTAGCTACCAGCAACGACGGCCAGGTGGTCATGAAGACTGAGCAGCAGCTTCAGGATCACTTCTCTCTCAGCCTCATCCTGCAAAGACAAACACCTGGTTACCATGGCGCCGTAACGCTGCTGGTCTGCTGGGACCTGCTGTGCGGATTCGCCTCCTTTCTGCCCCCATCATCACAGCAGGCCGCCGAGTTCAAAGGTCATACTTACGTAGGAGGCGTCGAAGTCGCTCCCGAAGGGATGGCTTTTAACTGCAGCAGAGGAGACAAAGCAGCAGCGTTACCACAGTTCAGAACATCAGCATCGGATCAGAACCGAGCTCTGCTGACGGACCAGAACCTTCTGGTTTGGGAATTACTGGGTTTTCCAGAAATTGCCAAACTTTTCCAGGTTGTGGACCCTCAACAGCATCAGCTTCTGGCCTATAAACCCAGAATGCTACAAAAATACATAAATAAAATCAACTTTCAAATATTTTCCTTCTTTTATTCACCATTAAGTAACAATTTCACTATTTTAGAGTGAATATTAACAGGTTCTCAATAATGAAAAAGAGAAGAGGATAAGCGGTGTGTGCAGAGGGGGGCGGGGCTTAGTATAGCTAAAACCAAGACTGCATCAGAATAAATGATCATAGCGGGAACTTTAACTCATCGATCATAGCGGGAACTTTAACTCATCGATCATAGAGGGAACTTTAACTCATCGATCATAGCGGGAACTTTAACTCATCGCCATGGCGATAAAAGGCCATTTTCTGTCCTCTAGCTTCACCAGAGGAACTCAGCTGTGATGGTGAACCGGCCCCGTGCTTTATGCTCACCATCATTCATTAATAGATCAACCGAAACAATGAGCGGAGCAGCTTCAGGTCAGCTGGACTGAAAATAATCAGCCTTAAAAACCGGCAGCAGAGGATCTCTGATCCAAACTGCTGGAAATCAGACAATCTGAGCCAACTTTCAGTTATAAACATGATTTGAATAAGAAGCGACGAGGTCATTACGATCACACACTAAGTGACCACATTTAATGGTTTTACCCCCAAATGACAGCAAAACCTGGAAGATCCACACATCAGTAAGCAGAACATCTCAGAGACGCTAGCTTACGTCTCAGAAACGCCCAGTCGGCGTCTAAGAGATGCCATCTAGCCAGCCAGTGTCTCAGAGACGCCTGCCAACATCTCAGAGATGCCAGCCAGCCCGCCTACGTCTCAGAGACGCCATCCAGCCAGCCATCGGAGACGCCCGCCAGCGTCTAAGAGATGCCATCTAGCCAGCCAGTGTCTCAGAGACGCCCGCCAACATCTCAGAGACGCCATCCAGCCAGCCAGTGTCTCAGAGACGCCATCTAGCCAGCCAGTGTCTCAGAGACGCCCGCCAACATCTCAGAGACGCCATCCAGCCAGCCAGTGTCTCAGAGACGCCATCTAGCCAGCCAGTGTCTCAGAGACGCCCGCCAGCGTCTAAGAGATGCCATCTAGCCAGCCAGTGTCTCAGAGACGCCCGCCTACGTCTCAGAGACGCCATCCAGCCAGCCAGTGTCTCAGAGACGCCATCTAGCCAGCCAGTGTCTCAGAGACGCCCGCCAACATCTCAGAGACGCCATCCAGCCCGCCTCTCAGAGACGCCCGCCTACGTCTCAGAGACGCCATCCAGCCAGCCAGTGTCTCAGAGACGCCATCCAGCCAGCCAGTGTCTCAGAGACGCCATCCAGCCAGCCAGTGTCTCAGAGACGCCATCCAGCCAGTGTCTCAGAGACGCCATCCAGCCAGCCAGTGTCTCAGAGACGCCATCCAGCCAGTGTCTCAGAGACGCCATCCAGCCAGTGTCTCAGAGACGCCATCCAGCCAGCCAGTGTCTCAGAGACGCCATCCAGCCAGTGTCTCAGAGACGCCATCCAGCCAGCGTCTCAGAGACGCCCTCCAGCCAGCCCGCCTCTCAGAGACACCCGCCTACGTCTCAGAGACGCCCGGTCGGCGTCTAAGAGATGCCATCTAGCCAGCCAGTGTCTCAGAGACGCCTGCCAACATCTCAGAGATGCCAGCCAGCCAGCCTACGTCTCAGAGACGCCATCCAGCCAGCCATCGGAGACGCCCGCCAGCGTCTAAGAGATGCCATCTAGCCAGCCAGTGTCTCAGAGACGCCCGCCAACATCTCAGAGACGCCATCCAGCCAGCCAGTGTCTCAGAGACGCCATCTAGCCAGCCAGTGTCTCAGAGACGCCCGCCAGCGTCTAAGAGATGCCATCTAGCCAGCCAGTGTCTCAGAGACGCCCGCCAACATCTCAGAGACGCCATCCAGCCAGCCAGTGTCTCAGAGACGCCATCTAGCCAGCCAGTGTCTCAGAGACGCCCGCCAGCGTCTAAGAGATGCCATCTAGCCAGCCAGTGTCTCAGAGACGCCCGCCTACGTCTCAGAGACGCCATCCAGCCAGCCAGTGTCTCAGAGACGCCATCTAGCCAGCCAGTGTCTCAGAGACGCCCGCCAACATCTCAGAGACGCCATCCAGCCCGCCTCTCAGAGACGCCCGCCTACGTCTCAGAGACGCCATCCAGCCAGCCAGTGTCTCAGAGACGCCCGCCAACATCTCAGAGACGCCATCCAGCCCGCCTCTCAGAGACGCCCGCCTACGTCTCAGAGACGCCATCCAGCCAGCCAGTGTCTCAGAGACGCCATCCAGCCAGCCAGTGTCTCAGAGACGCCATCCAGCCAGCCAGTGTCTCAGAGACGCCATCCAGCCAGCCAGTGTCTCAGAGACGCCATCCAGCCAGCCAGTGTCTCAGAGACGCCATCCAGCCAGTGTCTCAGAGACGCCATCCAGCCAGTGTCTCAGAGACGCCATCCAGCCAGCCAGTGTCTCAGAGACGCCATCCAGCCAGCCAGTGTCTCAGAGACGCCATCCAGCCAGTGTCTCAGAGACGCCATCCAGCCAGTGTCTCAGAGACGCCATCCAGCCAGCGTCTCAGAGACGCCATCCAGCCCGCCTCTCAGAGACGCCCGCCTACGTCTCAGAGACGCCATCCAGCCAGCCAGTGTCTCAGAGACGCCATCCAGCCAGCCAGTGTCTCAGAGACGCCATCCAGCCAGCCAGTGTCTCAGAGACGCCATCCAGCCAGTGTCTCAGAGACGCCATCCAGCCAGCCAGTGTCTCAGAGACGCCATCCAGCCAGCCAGTGTCTCAGAGACGCCATCCAGCCAGTGTCTCAGAGACGCCATCCAGCCAGTGTCTCAGAGACGCCATCCAGCCAGTGTCTCAGAGACGCCATCCAGCCAGCCAGTGTCTCAGAGACGCCATCCAGCCAGCCAGTGTCTCAGAGACGCCATCCAGCCAGTGTCTCAGAGACGCCATCCAGCCAGTGTCTCAGAGACGCCATCCAGCCAGTGTCTCAGAGACGCCATCCAGCCAGTGTCTCAGAGACGCCCGCCAGCATCTCAGAGATGCCCTCCAGCCAGCCCGCCTCTCAGAGACACCCGCCTACGTCTCAGAGACGCCCGTCAGCGTCTTAGAGATGCCATCTAGCCAGTGTCTCAGAGATGCCATCCAGCCAGTGTCTCAGAGACGCCATCCAGCCAGCCAGTGTCTCAGAGACACCATCCAGCCAGTGTCTCAGAGACGCCATCCAGCCAGTGTCTCAGAGACGCCATCCAGCCAGCCAGTGTCTCAGAGACGCCCGCCAGCATCTCAGAGATGCCCTCCAGCCAGCCCGCCTCTCAGAGACACCCGCCTACGTCTCAGAGACGCCCGTCAGCGTCTTAGAGATGCCATCTAGCCAGCCAGAGACGCCATCCAGCCATCGGAGACGCCCGCCAGCATCTCAGAGAAGCCATCCAGCCAATGGAGACGCCCGCCAGCCCGCCTCTCAGAGACACCCGCTAGCGTCTCAGAGACGCCAGCCAGCATCTCAAAGCGAGCTAACATTACGCTCCAATCCACACAGATTTAATTTAGAGAAAAAGCCACAGACCTCCATCAGGGTAAAAGAGGAGGCTACAGACCCACAACCCATCCTGGGATGGTTGGAACAGTGGGAACAATGGGAACAGTGGGAACAGTGGGAATAATGGGAACAGTGGGAATAATGGGAACAGTGGTGACTGTGGAGCCAAAATGACTCCCCTCCAGTCACTTGTTCCTACTAGAGCTGAAGAACATCCCTTCCAGCTTCCAGAGTGGCCTAGTCAAAGCCCGCACTGAGACCTAGTTAGGATCAGTGAGTTCCATCCAGCCTGAGCTGCCTCTGGTTGACCTTCACCTCTTCCATGGTCTGATCTACAGCTAAAGATCTGCAGTTTTTCTGGAGCTGCTCTCATCCACATTCAACCAAAGCAGTTTGCTCTGATCTGAGGGACACATTCACACTTACTGAGTCCCTCTCCTCCAGGGGCCCCGGAGCCCCTCATCCGGATGTAGAGGAGGCCGAGCAGGAGGAAGAAGAGGCAGGCGGCGGTGAGCAGGAACATGGACAGGTAGTGGGCGCTGAAGCTCCCAGAGGGGCCCTGGCCCTCCCGGTGGAACTGCAGCAGCAGATCATCCTCAGGGGCGGACACCTTCTTTTTGGGGCCTGCGTGGTTTGGCAGCGGGCTGTGGTTGGAGAAGCCCCCAGGGGCCGGGCTGCGGTAGGCGGGGAAGCGCTGCCTGGTCCCCGCGCTGCTCCTCCTGGGGGGCCCCTCCTCACTGTTCACATGGTTGTTCTCACAGGGCCTGCTCTGGGGGTCCAGGGGGACGTAGAGGGGCTTCCTGGGGAACATGTGGCGCCCAGACCCCCCCGATGCCTCCAGGTCTGCCCTCCTCATCCTCTCCCCGTCCTCCTCTCTGCCCCCAGCCATAGATCTGCTCCCAGGCGGAGAAAAGTTCTTCCCTCTGGACCCTCTGCCGTCTGCATGGGGGCCAAAGGGCCCCGCGGTGGAGATCCGCCGCAGCTCTAAGCTCCTCCGGTCTGGCTCCAGGCCTCCAGGGGCCCCGACCTCCTCCTCCTCCTCTGAATCGGAGTAGTCTCCGGCTAGTTTGCTAGAGCTGAGAGGAGCGGAGCGGCGGCCGTTAACAGGGCGGGAGTTCGGCTCCTCCTCGTCGCTCAGCTCTTCGCCATCAGGCCGGGATCTGTTCCCGGTTCCCCGGCCCAGCGCGGCGGCCGGCTGTCCGTCTGGCGCCGGCAATGAATCGCCTTTCAGGGCAGCCTTCCTGTTCGCCTCCACCGGCGGCTGGTTCTGGTTCCGACCGGTTCGTTTCGTGTGATCCAGAGCCGTCCTTTTCAGCGGCGTCTCGGCGTCTGATTCGTCGGAGCTGAAGCCGAGGACGGAGGACTTAAGGCCCGGTCTCCTGCCGGAGCTCAGGCGCCTGACGTCATGTCTACCTGGCCTCGGTGCCCCCGTGCTGCCGCCGCGGCCTTTCCCCCGCTGCTCCCGCTGCTGCTGCTCCTCCAGAAACTTCTTCAGCTTCTTCAGGTAAACCGGACGCGTGTTTTCGGTCACCGGACCGGGACTGAATCCATAGAACTTCAACTGGGAAAAAAGCTCCTCGTCAGTGATCTGCGTCGACGCCATCTTTGGAGGGGGGAAAAAAAATGTCTGAACTCCTTCTTCTTCGTCTGTTTCTTTCTTATCTGCTGTCACCAACATGAAGCAGCGTTACTGACACCTAGTGGTTGTTAGAGAGACATGACTGGATTACAGTGAAATAAACCACATAAAGCACAGAACTGTCAGAGAACAAAGAAAAAATACGTCGTTATTTTACTGAAGTAGACATTTTGGCTGGAGTATTAAAAAAAAAATCCAATTACCTCTAATCTCTACGTTTTAAAAATAGACTCGTTAGATTAGTTTCATTTAAGCTCATTTTCGTTATGGCCTGTTGTTATTTGAAAAAAAAAATAAAAACCATCAAAATAATTAGTTTCATCCAAACAATTAATTCCTTTGAGGTTGGAATTTGTGCTGCCCCAACTTGTTGTTCACCACATATCAAAATAAATAGTTTTTCTACATGATTTAAAGTTAAATAAGACACCGTTACCATTATTTATAAAACTAAGAAAAATAAATCTAAGGAAGTTATCATCCAGAATTGTAGAAAAAAATTCCTTTAATAAGGTAGAGTAGTAAAACTTCTGACCTTAACAGTTTTTACTGCATTGTATTTTAAAAATGGTACTTTTACACTTTTAATGGAGTAAAAAGCTTAAGTTGATTCTCTAATTTCTATAAAAGTGTTTTCAAAGAGCAGGATTTATATTTCTACTGGAGTAGACTTATAAACTATTACTGTCGTTTGTATAAACTCTGTGTACAAAATGTTGTTTAGTAAAGCTTTACAGACAGTAAATGAACATTTCCATCTATAAAGTGCAGCAGTGATCAAATGTAAACAGTGTGGGAGAAAATGAAAAGTTGTGAACACACCATCCTCCTCCCCTTTTCCCTGTCTGCCAGTTGAATAAATTTGATCAATTGCATTGAGAGACCTGCTGACTAGATCCACTGTCTGATGATATGAGAGTTAAGGAAAGACAAGAAACAGCAAAGCAGGAACAGAACAGGGAGGTGCAGGAGCAGCAGGAAAATGCGACCGCCTCCTTCAAGAGTCACAACAGATCAAAGAAAAAAACCTGTCTGCATTGTCTCCATAAAGGGCCTTCAGAATAGATTAAACATAAAATAAACTGAATTGAATGTATTGTTCCACTGGTATTTTTATATTTCATTTGTCCTGATGAGCTCCAGCTATTTGAGGTTATGGGGTCTCTGTACCATCATCCTCATTTTTAGCTTCCTTCACTGATTTTTGACCAGAATGGAGTCAGAATACTGACTCAGTGTTTTAACCATATTAATATCACACAGTCCATAAAAGATAAATCTGCTGAATAAATCTGGTCTTTACTGAAAAAAGGCCACCTAATATAACTATAGATAGTGGAATGTAGATGTCATATGTGGCCCTGCACTGATCAGGGTCTGTAGGTTGCAGGTCAGGAAAGTCACAAAGTACATTTACTTGATTACTGTAATTAAGTACTTTTTTGAGCACCTCTAACTTTCCTCCTCTTCCAGGAAGCTGTTAGTTCCTTGTTCCTTTTGCTTCAGCTCAGCTTTTTAATCCTCTGCTGTTTTTCATCCATCATGGCGAATAGCAGCCATTAGGACTGAATCTGGACGCCACTGATCTATAGATCTAATGACGTTACACAGATGAGAGAAACTCAGAGCAGATATTATTAGTAGTTTAAAACTTTATTAAGTTGTTGCCATGAGGCAAGGTTGTTCAGGAGGAGGAGTCTCTGATCAGAGTTATAGTTCCTAATAGATTCAACCTTTAACCTCTATTCTATAGTGAAAGTCTGAGGAGAATCAAGACTCCCCTGTTTTCCATTTGGTTTGTTTTTAAATAAGAAATAATAATCATAATATCTGTCCTTGTTTTTTGTGCCATTTTTATGCTGAAGTTCTTTCCAGGTGGTGTAGAATCTATAGCCAGTTGATTGCATCGACTCATTGATTCTTCAACAATCCCTCACACTAAGCATGCTTGCAGCGACAGTGGAGAGGAAAAACTCCCTTTGAACAGGAAGAAACCTCCAGCAGAACCAGGCTCAGTGTGAGCGGCCATCTGCTGAGGCCCACTGGGGTTCAAGGAGACAGAAGCAGACATAGAAAAAGAAGCATAGATACAAAAGGCAACTGTCAACCAGCTCCACAGGCGGCCCCGTCCAGGAAACACACAGCCAGGCAGACGAGCTCCGAGCCAGCTCCCATGTCAGAGGATGAAGAGAGCACATCCAGTTAGTCAGTCAGAGAAACAGGACTACACTGGAAAACAGGGCAAGCTCCAACATCTATAAACAAAGGTGTTGATGGCAGCAGCACAGCTGATATTTCTCTCCAGGATGGAGTCACAGCCAAACAGGAACAGACCAGATGAAGCTACTATGAGGAAAAGCAGAGAGAGCAGAACGTTAGAGATTGAACTAACAGATTCTGCAGAGTGGGAGAATAGAGATAGAATGAAGCAGAATGATGAAATAGGGGTCCCTATGTCCTCCAGCAGTCTAAGCCTATAGCAGCATCACTATAGAGATAGCTCAGGATAACCTGAGCCACTCTAACTAGAAGCTTTATCAAAAAGGAAAGTTTTAAGCCTAGCCTTAAAAGTAGACAGGGTGTCTGCCTCACGGACTAAAACTGGTAGTTGGTTCCACAGGAGAGGAGCCTGATAACTAAAAGATCTGCCTCCCATTCTACTTTTAGAAATTCTAGGAACCACTAGTAAACCTGCAGATTGAGAGTGAAGTGCTCTGTTAGGAACATAAGGAACAATCAGATCTCTGATATCAGATGGAGCTTGGCCATTTAAGGCTTTATATGTGAGAAGGAGGATTTTAAATTCTATTCTGGATTTAACAGGAAGCCAATGAAGATGGATGATCAGTTCATGGTGAGACGAATAAAAAAAACTGGGCTGACTGCAGGTGGATCAGAAGCTAGCTTTGCGTCACATTGTGAATCAAACATTGTCTGTAGGAATGAAAACCAGAAGAGGACCAGAATGGCTTCATTAAAGGGAGAAGGAGTGGAGCAGCAGAAGACATACCCCGGTGTTCCCATGGAGACACATCTGAAGGAGGAACAGAGCAGACTGGACTTCTGGAGGAGGCTCAGGTCCTCCATTGTTTGAGTCAGACTCAGTGAAACCAAAATGGCTGCATCAATACGGGTCTTCCATTTTTGTTTTTAAGCATATGCACTGATTGATGGCACTTTTTAAAAATTTCGTTCTTCTTGTGACAATCAAAAATAAAGATAAATTGATCAATTGAAATTGAGAGGGGTAAAAAGACCAAACAGCTAATTTTTTCAGTTTCTACATGTAGAAACAAAATAAGACATTACAACTGGAAAAGTTTGTTTTACATTCCTAAGGATGTATAAAGATGTTTCTTAAAAGAATCCTGAGTTTATCATAATTCATGTATGAGAGGGTTAAGCTCTAATTATTATTATTATTATTTAGGTATAGGGTTCTCACGATACTAAACTTTTCAACTCGATACCGATACTAAGGAAAATATTCGATACTCGATACCATTTTCGATACCACAAGGATAAAAACAAAGACTCCAAAAGTCTACAGAAATATTTTCATTAATAAATAAAATACAATAAATAAACACAATAAAGGTTGTATGCTGTGCATAATATTAAGCAAGCTTGATAAAAAACTTATAAAATTCAAATTAAGTGTTCCTTCCTTGGCTATGCTTTGCACACATAACAATGACACTAGCCAAACCGGTTAAGAAACCAAAATAATTCTCAGCAGCTGCACCTGTTTCAACAAAAATAGTCTGAAACTGAAAAGAGCACAGAATTATTCAATCACACAGTGTTCAGAAAGTGCATTGTCCTCTATTCTGCACTTTAGATGAAGGACTGCTTAGGTGCCACTGGTGACGGCACTGTATCGATACTTTTAAAAACGAGTATTGTATCCGGATACAACATTTCAGTATCGATACTTTTTTGAATTTCGATACTTTTGACAACCCTATTTAGGTATTATAGATCCTGTTTTTATGATTAGTTATATGTAAATAATTGTCTGGTTTCTGCCTTCTTTCCGCTGTTCTGTCAGACCAGCGTACCTATAGTCAATACGCATGTGCAAGACATCAGATTTGTGTTTATCTTTTAGTTTTGTTCAAAAAGTAGACTTTAAACTACCTCGACGGGCGTGCGTCCCTTTAGTCAAGTACAAAAAAACAACTTACGGTCAGATCACCATGCGATTCAAAAAAACACCAAAAACTAATTAGTTTTTTTTACATGACTAAAGGTAAACACGCTCGTTGAGTTAGTTTAATGTCTATTTTTTGTAAAAAACTAAAGAGATAAATGGGTATTGACTCTGGGTCTGACAGATCACCTCCACGTGTCACAAATAAAGGTTAATTAAAAGTTTAATGAGCTGTTAGGAAGGCGGCTCTGTTCTGTGGAACCTCCAGTGATGATGGTGGATCATCGTCTTCATCTGACTGTCAAAGCGTCTTTAATCAGAGGCAGCTGCGATCCTGACCTCTACAGGAGGTCCTCCAGCCTCTCCATCAATACGAGTCATTATTTTTCCTTTCAGATCAATTAAATATTGTGTAAATGTATTCACTTTCTTCATGAAAAGACTTCTTTCATAATTTAATTCCACTGACTAATTTCCAACAGTTTTATTGAAACAATACAAACATGGAATGAATGAAGACACCAACCACCAGGCTTATCTGGATTTATTAACTCTAGTTCTGCTGATGCTAGCAGCGCTTTGATCAGCCATCGGGGGAAATCTGACCCCCCATCCACAGACGCCTCACATTCCAGGCAGCGAAGCTTTGAGGTTGAGAAGAATCGACACGTCGGACGGCGACAAGCAGAAAACCCCAAACTCCCTTAGAGGAGACTCCGCTGAACCAGCGTTCTCCTCCTGCCCGGCCTGTTTGAGGTGCTCCTTCAGCAGGATGGCAGGGCCCACCCGGAGACACAGGATGATGCAGGCCTCCTTCACGCTGTGCAGAGACGGAAGGACAGGTGAAAAAAACTCACCACAAACCAACAGCAGATTTACACAAAGAGGCCATTTAAAAAAAAAACAACAACCCGTCATTCATGTAGATTTAACAATAGTCCAAAGTCAAAGTGAAACGACCAATCAGGGCAGTGCATGTTGCTGACATCACAGAGTCTATCTCTTTGTTAAACAGCGAGTGGATGAAGAGAGAAACGCAGCTGCTGGAGGAACTCCTGTCTGCGATATGGAGAGCAGTTGGCCCCGTTTACGGTAAGCCATTTCTGTATTTATTCATCCCATCATGTTTGTAACGAGTCTCTTCCATCTTTGTTCTAGATGAACGTGTTATCACGCACTCTACAGTGATATCACACTCAAATGATAGTGGTAGAGCTGGAACAAACAATTATCTTGCAAATTACTTAATCTGCTGATTATTTTCTCGATTAATCAATATTGCTTTACATACACACACACACATATACGTATATATATATATATATATATATATATATATATATATATATATATATATATATATATATATATATATATATATATATATATATATATATATATATATATACCGTAAATTCTCTAATATAGGCCCGGGCCTTTATTTCACTCAAGTGCATCGCGGTCCAGGCCTTTATTGGATAGAGGCCAGAATTAGAGACAGGCCTCTATTGCTATTTGAGCAAAACAGACTACCAGTGGAATGAATAAAAATGAGATTTTGTGTCTATTTGAACCTATAAAACATAGGTTCATTTATTGAAAAAGTACAGTTACCATGTCTCGCTTGGTTTGAAGTAAAAAAAAAAATAAAATCCTCCAATTCTGTTTAATTCTCCTCCTCAGTTTTTCTCCTCCTCTTCATCTCTCCCTTTATTCTCCTCATCACTCGCGCTCCTTCTGTTCTGCTGCGTGTCTGTTCTCTTCCTCGCGCAGACGGGCAGCAGTCAGGGCCTGTCGTCCAGCCGCGCAGGGCTGTGGTACTTGTATGTTACTACCACAAGTATAATGTTGAGGTATGCCCAGAAAAAACGTTTATAGCCCCGGCCTGTATTAGAGACCAGCCATTATTTACCTCCTCTGACAGCGAGACCGGCCATTATTACAGACCCGGCCGCTATTGGAATACAGGCCAATATTAGAGAATTTACGGTATATACATATATATACACTCACCGGCCACTTTATTAGGTACACCTGTCCAACTGCTCGTTAACACTTAATTTCTAAGCAGCCAATCACATGGCGGCAACTCAGTGCATTTAGGCATGTAGACATGGTCAAGACAATCTCCTGCAGTTCAAACCGAGCATCAGTATGGGGAAGAAAGGTGATTTGAGTGACTTTGAACGTGGCATGATTGTTGGTGCCAGAAGGGCTGGTCTGAGTATTTCAGAAACTGCTGATCTACTGGGATTTTCACGCACAACCATCTCTAGGGTTTACAGAGAATGGTCCGAAAAAGAAAAAACATCCAGTGAGCGGCAGTTCTGTGGGCGGAAATGCCTTGTTGATGCCAGAAGTCAGAGGAGAAAGGCCAGACTGGTTGGAGCTGATAGAAGGGCAACAGTGACTCAAATAACCACCCGTTACAACCAAGGTGGGCAGAAGAGCATCTCTGAACGCACAGTACGTCGAACTTTGAGGCAGATGGGCTACAGCAGCAGAAGACCACACCGGGTGCCACTCCTTTCAGCTAAGAACATGAAACTGAGGCTACAATTTGCACAAGCTCATCGAAATTGGACAATAGAAGATTGGAAAAACGTTGCCTGGTCTGATGAGTCTCGATTTCTGCTGCGACATTCGGATGGTAGGGTCAGAATTTGGCGTCTACAACATGAAAGCATGGATCCATCCTGCCTTGTATCAACGGTTCAGGCTGGTGGTGGTGGTGTCATGGTGTGGGGAATATTTTCTTGGCACTCTTTGGGCCCCTTGGTACCAATTGAGCATCGTTGCAACGCCACAGCCTACCTGAGTATTGTTGCTGACCATGTCCATCCCTTTATGACCACAATGTACCCAACTTCTGATGGCTACTTTCAGCAGGATAATGCGCCATGTCATAAAGCTGGAATCATCTCAGACTGGTTTCTTGAACATGACAATGAGTTCACTGTACTCAAATGGCCTCCACAGTCACCAGATCTCAATCCAATAGAGCATCTTTGGGATGTGGTGGAACGGGAGATTCGCATCATGGATGTGCAGCCGACAAATCTGCGGCAACTGTGTGATGCCATCATGTCAATATGGACCAAACTCCCTGAGGAATGCTTCCAGCACCTTGTTGAATCTATGCCACAAAGAATTGAGTCAGTTCTGAAGGCAAAAGGGGGTCCAACCCGTTACTAGCATGGGGTACTTAATAAAGTGTATATATATATATCAGAAAATATTTGGAGCAGTCATGATGACAATGACAGAGCCCTGATCTAAATCCTCCCCTCTGCAGACCGGGTCTCCAGCTGCTGTCCAACACTCACTGCTTAAAGAAGTTCTCGGGTCTCCGGCAGTAATGTCCAAACAGAGGGAACAGGTTCCTGGTCATGTCGAACTGGAGCTGGGCCGCCCCCCCATCGCTGAAGTGATTGGCTAGAATGACCTGCAGGTAGAGCAGAGACAGAATGATCCGTCTGGTAGCGGCGACGCTCGGCCCGGTCGCAGAGCGACAGAGAACAGGAACGTCTCGTACCTCCTGGTAGATGAAGGCGTCCAGTTTTTCAGCCAATCCCTGCCAAGCCAGCTGGAAGAGAGAGAGACTCAAGACCTGATGGAGGTTCAGCAGTCTGTCCCTCACACACAGCATCATGGGGCAGGCGGAGCTGGACAGGGACATGGTGGACTGGTCCTGTGGAGCTGGGATGGACAGCCATCTGGAACACAGTCACCATGGTTACCAACCTCTATGCAAATCAAACATTAAGGAGGCAGTGTCAAAGAGGACTCACCTCTCCTGGCAGTACGGCTGAGCCTTCTCAGAGGTCTCCCTCATCAGGAAGTGCAGCAGGCGTCCCAGCATGTCCCCCTTCAGGCGGTCCAGCAGGGACAGCAGCCCATCGAACAGAGAGCCCTCCATGGAAGCCAGGCGGCCGACTTCTGTCATTTCCAGGCTGCCCAGGACCTCCTGCTCCCCCAGAGAAATGGCCGCCTGCTGCAGCTGGAGGAAGAACTGCAGGAGAACGCCGTTGAGCTCCTATTGGTCGGTAACATGGGAGAACACGGCGATCGGGACACAGACTCACCACATTGTCTCCCCAGTCCCTCAGAATGGTGGAGATGTAGTTGACGGCATTGAGGATGGCGCAGTAGCGGAGCCCCAGAGGGCAGCGGGACTCTTCCTTCATCACCTGCAACATTCAGTCAGGGTCTAGTAGAACAGACCAAGGCTGCTCTGGGTTCTGCTGACCCAGATCCTCTGTTTGGACCTCTTTTACTTTTGATTTCTCATTTTTTTTCTTGCAGAAGATTTAGTTTTTTTCCCCTCGTTCTTACCTGAGTTAGTCGTATGCGGAAGTCGTCAACCAACTCCTTCTGTAGCCCAAAGAACCGGAGCTGTGCTGAAGGACTGGACAAGGCCCGGTAGCGTTCTGTAGTTGGGGAACCGAACATAAAGTCCGTTTGGAAACCGTTAAATGATTTAACTGCGAGAGCCTCGCCTCCAGCTAAGCTCACACTTATTGTGCCGCTGCCTGTCTAACTGCTGACATCTGGAACATAACCGGATCTTAGCTTTATCTTCTGGAGCAAAAACACTGAGGCATCATTACCTCGGCAACCAATGACGTCCCACCTGTGATCACCTGAAGGAGAGTCATGAACGTCTCCGCACACTCGGGCGCCTTCAGCTCATCCATATCACTGATGTCTTTATACTGGGACGTCCACGCCCCCTCGGCCGACAGCATGGCGTCCATCTTCTCCACCGCCACTGTCGATGAATGGAAACAACAGCGCTGCATCAGGCAGGATGTCCGCTTTGAGCGGAACAGGAGCAGCGGGCGGAGAACTCACTCTTCCGTTCCACAGCGAGCCACTTCTGCAGGAAGGCGTCCTCCAGCAGGATGTGCAGCAGGCCAGGCAGCGCGGCGGGGTACGAGTGACGGCCTCTCAGGTCTTTCTCAAACTGGAGCACCTCTTCCACCAGGTGGCAGAAGAGTCCGTCGTCATACAGCATCCGAGCCGCATCGCTGGCCACCTTCTCCTGGACCAGATGCACCAGGCCTCGACAGAGCTCCACCTGCAGCCGAACAGAACCAGCAGGTTGGAGCAGATGATAGCAGCATTAGAGCGACCAGAACCGCGGTCACTGAAGCTAACTTGCTTTAGCACTGATGGTTTTCCCAGCTCGGTCAAAGACGGGCTGAATCTTCTCCTCCATGAAGGCGGAGCTGCTCTCCATCCACTTCAGGACCTGAGTCAGGTACCACTCCGGCTGCAAGAAGGACAACCCATCTTTAGGAACAGAACTGCAGATCAGAGGCTCTCCCCTACCTTTTTTTCCCCCAGCAATAAAAAACAAACAAACATTTCTTTCATCCTAAAACTAAAACTTCAGCTACAGATTCACAGTTTGAGGTCAGATGGGTGGAGCAGTTAAACCCGTTTTACAGGAAGAAAGGATGTCAGGATTTCTACTCCCGATGAAGAGCTCAGAGAACCTGAACCCAGCAACCTAACACCCCAGACCCGACGCAGAGAACCCCATTTGAACAGGAAGCTAAAGGTTTAGCGGACCTAGCTAGATGAAGCTCCTCTCAGAACCAGCTAATAAAGAAAATAACCAGTTAATACAGATAATAACCAGCTAATACAAATAATAACCAGCTAATAACAATAATAAACACCTTAATAAAGATAATAACAAACTAGTAAAGATGATAACCAGCTATTAAAGATGACAACCAGCTAATACAGATAATAACTAGCTAATAACGATAATAAACACCTTAATAAAGATAATAACCAGCTAGTAAAGATAACAACCAGCTAATACAGATAATAACCAGCTAATACCGATAATAAACACCTTAATAAAGATAATAACCAGCTAATACAGATAATAACAGCTAATAACGATAATAACGATAATAACCAGCTAATAACGATAATAACCAGCTAATACAGATAATAACCAGCTAATAAAGATAATAACCAGCTAATACAGATAATAACCAGCTAATAACGATAATAAACACCTTAATAAAGATAATAACAAGCTAGTAAAGATGATAACCAGCTATTAAAGATAAACCAGCTAATACAGATAATAACCAGCTAATATAGATGATAACCAGCTAATAACGATAATAACCAGCTAATAAATATAATAACTATGTGACACTGATGACCTCCCCGCTATTGGTCGGTTGGCTTCATCTACATGCTGGCTGATGGGAGCAGAGGAACCTTGTGTATGGAGTTGGTTTGGCGGTTCCCGTAGAAATGGTACCGGAACCTCTTGGCGAGCGGCTGCAGCATGATCTGAACGGGCAGGCAGAGGGGCGGCGCCCCTGAAGGAGCAGAGGGTGGAGTCTGGGTGGAGGCGCTCTGGGATACGAGGTCGTCGCTGTGAAGAAAGGTTAAAGAAAGCAGCAGGTGGAGGAGGCTCCTGACAGCAGGGCAGAAAGAGACACGTCCTAATGAGGCTATTGGAGACATGGACGGATCAGTCTAATACCTGCAGAATAACTGACGTCTACCATTCAACCATTTCAGTTTATTCAATAAACTGGTTAATGGATTCAAAGATCATTTACAGGCAATAGTTCCTAAGCAAAGTAACCGTCAATAACAGACATGTTTGGTTGTGATCAAGGCCGTTTCTCAATATGCGTTCTTGAGGGTTCTCGTGTGCTTGTGTACTCGTGACACGTCATCAGCCTCAGCCCGAGTACCGTTCCAATTCTCGAGAACGGCAGATCAAGAACGCAGCAAATCCCCGGATGTTGTTCTCGCCCCGCCCTCTTTATCGAGCATGCATCAGAGCAGGCTTGTGCGTTCTTCAGACTGACCGCTTCCCCAGAATGCCCCGCGGCCGCAGCTTGATTCGAGACAGCGCTCACAGTGGTAAGTTAAACATTCCCTTTTCTGCTGCTGTTGTTCTTCAAAAGTACGTTTTGAAATCGTTTGAGGCAATAACATTATACATTGAAGCCTCCCTGTGTGGTCTGTTTACAGAGTAAGTGCGAAATTTAAAAAGTCCGACATTGAGTGGACCAGCAGACCTCCGAGGGTAACCGCAGCCAGGGCTAATGTTACCCCGTCTGTAGTGCACTTCTCTCGGTCTAGTTATGTGTGGACTACCGCTCGTTCTGATGGCGGTTTTTTGCTTTAATTCGGCCAAACGTCCATTTGTTTTGTGTTTATCTGACTGCCTTGTGTTGGATGTGATGACGTCACGAGTACGCTTCTGTTCCAATACACATACGTGCTCGCGTTCTCGTCAAGTCCGACCTTCCTGCGTTCTCGCCAAGAACGGACTTGACGAGAACGCGAGTACGTACTCGCGTTCTGAGAAACGGCCCAAGTCTGTGCTTCGGCCCAGAGGAAGATGGCTGACTGGACATTTGTCCAGGAGACGCTCACTAAAATTTGCTGCTAGAAAAGTGACAGACAGATGTTGGACCGCCTTTTTTTAACCCAGACTTCTAATGATGATGAGGCTTAGAGCTAACACCATCACGTCCTTTAAAGTCCAGCTCAGGGGCAGAATCAGTCAGAGTTTAGTCTCTAGCAGTGTCTGAATGTCCGCCCTAATCTCTATATAACGGTCACACCATTAAATATCAGCGTCTGAACGTCCAATGGAGGGAAAAGTAGTGGACTCCAAACTTCCCACAATGCACCTTGAAAAGTAGTGATCATCCATGGGCACTAGATGAGCAGATGTATCCCAGAATGCTTTTAAAGAGCTCTCCTCGCAAAGCATGATGGGTATTAATGTATAACAAAAGCGTACTGATGACATCACTACATTCAAAGCTAGTCTGGAGTTGCATTAAAACAAAAAAAATCACCATCAGAGTACTTCACACAAGCCTATGCTGAGAAAGGGCCGCTACAGACGGGCTAATGTTAGCCCTGGCTGCCGGAGATGGGCTAAAGTTAGCCCTGGCTGCCGCAGACGGGCTAAAGTTAGCCCTGGCTGCCGCAGACGGGCTAAAGTTAGCCCTGGCTGCCGCAGACGGGCTAAAGTTAGCCCTGGCCGCTGCAGACGGGCAAACGTTAGCCCTGGCTGCCGCAGACAGGCTAAAGTTAGCCCTGGCCGCTGCAGACAGGCTAATGTTAGCCCTGGCCGCTGCAGACGGGCAAACGTTAGCCCTGGCCGCTGCACAAGGGCAAACGTTAGCCCTGGCTGCCGCAGACGGGCTAAAGGTAGCCCTGGCTGCCGCAGACGGGCAAATGTTAGCCCTGGCCGCTGCTGACGGGCTAATGTTAGCCCTGGCCGCTGCCGACGGGCTATTGTTAGCCCTGGCCGCTGCAGACGGGCTAATGTTAGCCCTGGCTGCTGCAGACTGGCTATTGTTAGCCCTGGCCGCCGCAGACGGGCTAAAGTTAGCCCTGGCCGCTGCAGACGGGCTAATGTTAGCCCTGGCCGCTGCAGACGGGCTATTGTTAGCCCTGGCCGCTGCCGAAGGGCTATTGTTAGCCCTGGCCGCTGCCGACGGGCTATTGTTAGCCCTGGCCGCTGCAGACGGGCTAATGTTAGCCCTGGCTGCTGCAGACTGGCTATTGTTAGCCCTGGCCGCCGCAGACGGGCTAAAGTTAGCCCTGGCCGCTGCAGACGGGCTATCGTGAGCCCTGGCGGCTGCAGACGGGCTAACGTTAGCCCTGGCTGCCGCAGATGGGCTAACGTTAGCCCTGGCTGCCGCAGACAGCTAAAGTTAGCCCTGTCCCCTGCAGATGGGCTAAAGTTAGCCCTGGCCACTGCAGATGGGCTAACGTTAGCCCTGGCTGCCGCAGACAGGCTAACGTGAGCCCTGGCTGCCGCAGAGGGGCTAATGTTAGCCCTGGCCACTTCAGACGGGCTAATGTTAGCCCTGGCCGCTGCAGACGGGCTAATGTTAGCCCTGGCCGCTGCAGACGGGCTATTGTTAGCCCTGGCCGCTGCAGACGGGCTAAAGTTAGCCCTGGCCGCTGCAGACGGGCTAATGTTAGCCCTGGCCGCTGCAGACTGGCTATTGTTAGCCCTGGCTGCCGCAGATGGGCTAACGTTAGCCCTGGCTGAGCAGACGGGCTAAAGTTAGCCCTGGCCGCTGCAGACGGGCTAAAGTTAGCCCTGGCCGCTGCAGACGGGCTATTGTTAGCCCTGGCCGCTGCAGACGGGGTAATGTTAGCCCTGGCCGCTGCAGACGGGCTAACGTTAGGCCTGGCTGCCGCAGACGGGCTAACGTTAGCCCTGGCTGCCGCAGACAGCTAAAGTTAGCCCTGTCCCCTGCAGACGGGCTAAAGTTAGCCCTGGCCACTGCAGATGGGCTAACGTTAGCCCTGGCTGCCGCAGACAGGCTAAAGTTAGCCCTGGCCCCTGCAGACGGGCTAACGTTAGCCCTGGCTGAGCAGACGGGCTAAAGTTAGCCCTGGCCGCTGCAGACGGGCTAAAGTTAGCCCTGGCCGCTGCAGACGGGCCATTGTTAGCCCTGGCCGCTGCAGACGGGCTATTGTTAGCCCTGGCAGCTGCAGACGGGCTAATGTTAGCCCTGGCCGCTGCAGACTGGCTATTGTTAGCCCTGGCCGCTGCAGACGGGCTATTGTTAGCCCTGGCCGCTGCCGACGGGCTAATGTTAGCCCTGGCCGCTGCAGACTGGCTATTGTTAGCCCTGGCCGCCGCAGACGGGCTAAAGTTAGCCCTGGCCGCTGCAGACGGGCTATCGTGAGCCCTGGCGGCCGCAGACGGGCTAAAGTTAGCCCTGGCCCCTGCAGACGGGCTAACGTGAGCCCTGGCTGCCGCAGAGGGGCTAATGTTAGCCCTGGCCACTTCAGATGGGCTAATGTTAGCCCTGGCCGCTGCAGACGGGCTAAAGTTAGCCCTGGCCACTGCAGATGGGCTAACGTTAGCCCTGGCTGCCGCAGACAGGCTAAAGTTAGCCCTGGCCCCTGCAGACGGGCTAACGTTAGCCCTGGCTGAGCAGACGGGCTAAAGTTAGCCCTGGCCGCTGCAGACGGGCTAAAGTTAGCCCTGGCCGCTGCAGACGGGCTATTGTTAGCCCTGGCCGCTGCAGACGGGCTATTGTTAGCCCTGGCAGCTGCAAACGGGCTAATGTTAGCCCTGGCCGCTGCAGACTGGCTATTGTTAGCCCTGGCCGCTGCAGACGGGCTATTGTTAGCCCTGGCCGCTGCCGACGGGCTAATGTTAGCCCTGGCCGCTGCAGACTGGCTATTGTTAGCCCTGGCCGCCGCAGACGGGCTAAAGTTAGCCCTGGCCGCTGCAGACGGGCTATCGTGAGCCCTGGCGGCCGCAGACGGGCTAAAGTTAGCCCTGGCCCCTGCAGACGGGCTAACGTGAGCCCTGGCTGCCGCAGAGGGGCTAATGTTAGCCCTGGCCACTTCAGACGGGCTAATGTTAGCCCTGGCCGCTGCAGACGGGCTAATGTTAGCCCTGGCCGCTGCAGACGGGCTATTGTTAGCCCTGGCCGCTGCAGACGGGCTATTGTTAGCCCTGGCCGCTGCAGACGGGCTATTGGTAGCCCTGGCCGCTGCAGACGGGCTAACGTTAGCCCTGGCTGCCGCAGACAGCTAAAGTTAGCCCTGTCCCCTGCAGACGGGCTAAAGTTAGCCCTGGCCACTGCAGATGGGCTAACGTTAGCCCTGGCTGCCGCAGACAGGCTAAAGTTAGCCCTGGCCCCTGCACACGGGCTAACGTTAGCCCTGGCTGAGCAGACGGGCTAAAGTTAGCCCTGGCCGCTGCAGACGGGCTAAAGTTAGCCCTGGCCGCTGCAGACGGGCTATTGTTAGCCCTGGCCGCTGCAGACGGGCTAATGTTAGCCCTGGCCGCTGCAGACTGGCTATTGTTAGCCCTGGCCGCTGCAGACGGGGTATTGTTAGCCCTGGCCACTGCAGATGGGCTAACGTTAGCCCTGGCTGCCGCAGACAGGCTAAAGTTAGCCCTGGCCCCTGCAGACGGGCTAACGTTAGCCCTGGCTGAGCAGACGGGCTAAAGTTAGCCCTGGCCGCTGCAGACGGGCTAAAGTTAGCCCTGGCCACTGCAGATGGGCTAACGTTAGCCCTGGCTGCCGCAGACAGGCTAAAGTTAGCCCTGGCCCCTGCAGACGGGCTAACGTTAGCCCTGGCTGAGCAGACGGGCTAAAGTTAGCCCTGGCCGCTGCAGACGGGCTATTGTTAGCCCTGGCCGCTGCAGACGGGCTATTGTTAGCCCTGGCCGCTGCAGACGGGCTAATGTTAGCCCTGGCCGCTGCAGACTGGCTATTGTTAGCCCTGGCCGCTGCAGACGGGCTATTGTTAGCCCTGGCCGCTGCAGACGGGCTAATGTTAGCCCTGGCCGCTGCAGACTGGCTATTGTTAGCCCTGGCCGCCGCAGACGGGCTAAAGTTAGCCCTGGCCGCTGCAGACGGGCTATCGTGAGCCCTGGCGGCCGCAGACGGGCTAAAGTTAGCCCTGGCCCCTGCAGACGGGCTAACGTGAGCCCTGGCTGCCGCAGAGGGGCTAATGTTAGCCCTGGCCACTTCAGACGGGCTAATGTTAGCCCTGGCCGCTGCAGACGGGCTAATGTTAGCCCTGGCCGCTGCAGACGGGCTATTGTTAGCCCTGGCCGCTGCAGACGGGCTTTTGTTAGCCCTGGCCTCTGCAGACGGGCTATTGTTAGCCCTGGCCGCTGCAGACGGGCTATTGTTAGCCCTGGCCTCTGCAGACGGGCTATTGTTAGCCCTGGCCGCTGCAGACGGGCTATTGTTAGCCCTGGCCGCCGCAGACGGGCTAAAGTTAGCCCTGGCCCCTGCAGACGGGCTAAAGTTAGCCCTGGCCGCTGCAGACGGGCTATCGTGAGCCCTGGCGGCCGCAGACGGGCTAAAGTTAGCCCTGGCCCCTGCAGACGGGCTAACGTTAGCCCTGGCTGCCGCAGATGGGCTAACGTTAGCCCTGGCTGAGCAGACGGGCTAAAGTTAGCCCTGGCCGCTGCAGAAGGGCTAAAGTTAGCCCTGGCTGCCGCAGACGGGCTAACGTTAGCCCTGGCTGCTGCAGACGGTCTAACGTTAGCCCTGGCTGCCGCAGACTGGCTAACGTTAGCCCTGGCCGCTGCAGACGGGCCCACTGGAGGTTCCACAGAACAGAGCCGCCTTCCTAACAGCTCTTTAGTTTTTTACAAAAAAATTACTTTAAACGACCTCAACGGGCGTGTTTACCTTTAGTCATGTACAAAAAGCTATTAAATTAGTTTGTTTTTGGTGTTTTTTTGAATCGCATGGTGCTCCCGTTCTCCCCGAGTCCAGACTGTCCTGGGTTCTTGTTAAGAACAACCTTGGCGAGGACACGAGTCCGTACTCGCGTTTTTATGAATAGAGAAACGGCCTTAGTTTCACTTCCCAAAATGAACACTTCTACACATGTTCAGACGTCTGCATCCCCTCCAGGTTCCAAATAGCGCCCTTGCATTGTATTAAAACCCGCTTAATACATGCTGAGCCGATCATTGTCTCCCCCTAGCTAACCATAGCCCTGCTATGGTTAGCAGCTTTTCTGTGTCTGCAGCTCTTTAAACTCTTCTCTCTGATGGCAGCAGATAGGAGATATTCCTGGATCTGCAGAGGATGAAAGGATACGAGGTCTGCAGAGCGAGCAGCTGCAGCAGCAGCCCCTCCAACTGGCCGCCCAGATCCAGGGAGTTAGCAGGGGGGGTCACTGGCTGGCTGGGTGTGATGATGGGCCACTGAAGTTGAGTCAACACTTTCTCAAAATCACTGCAAACAGGTGGAAGGAGGATGAGTGGGTGAACTCTGATAGGCACAGGACGGCGCTCTGAGGGACATTCACCTGCTCAGGCGGTCCTTGATGATATTGTGCCAGAAGCACAGAGTTTTCCTCAGGAAGTGTCGCAGATGGGAACACTGGGAGCTGTTCAGCCTGCAGTCCAGAGCCGCCATGCTCTCCACTCCCTTTATGGCGTCCCACACGCTGTTGATCATCAGAGACTGCTGGACGGCAGCGCTGCGGACACGACACAGAAGGCGGAGCTTAGAAAGCTCAACAGAACTGCAACACAGAAGTACAACATTCCCGGAGCCTAAATAAACCGATTTAAATTAATTTCATTTAACCAGAGGAGGAAAGGAGCCGAGCAGAACCCGTCTGACAACACGAAGAAGGCTAAGAGGGTTTCCATTTTAGTTTTTTTTAAGTCGGCCATGTTCTGACCAGAAGCTTTATGATGCTGTAGCTACCAGATCTGCTCTGGTTCTGCTTCATGCCACTGACGTTACGCTACATGATTGGCTGAACGTTGCCACATGACGTAAAAGGTGGTTGCCCAGACAACGATAATAACATCACGCAGCGTCCGTTAGCAAGTCTAATGACCGATTAAGTTTTACCTGATCGAGGACAAAACTGAAAAAAATATTTTTCTGATGAACAAATTAACTGTTAGACCTTGATATAAAGAGCTGGGTAGCGCTGTGACTAGCTGAAGCTAACAGGTTAGCATCTGTTAGCTCGCTCTGTTAGCCTTATTAAGCTACGCTACTTTTAACTTTTAACAACCATTTGTTTTCTAGCAGTAGGAAAACTGTTTTGTCTAAAATCTCTACAAATTAAGATGCTCCATTTGTCCTCCTCTGACCTCAGATCTTAATAAAATAAACTGAGACTTTTTTTGTATCCTTGTTAAATAGCAGAGCTCAGTCTGTTTTAGGCTAACAATGATTGTTTTCTACTTTCGAATATAGAAAACATTCTTTCATAGCAAATATAGAGAATAATATGTTCAGACTCCAGAAAAGATTTGATCCTTAAGAAATGGGTGCGATACAGTTTGTCCGAGTGGAGCTGCCATATGATGTCATAAGAAAGGGCGGGGCCCCGAGCAGATCTGGACCCTCACAGGAGGGATTACATTCAAGCCAACACTGGTCCTGGTCCAAAAATCGAGGTCCACTTTCTGAGGCGGACCAGAGGAGAGCAGAACTTCTCCAAAGAGACCCGGATCCTCAGCTCAGGGGTCGACATTAAGGAAGAGGCTGGGTGGAAATGGGCTCCGTGGGAGCAAGCAGAACTGACCCGCTTCTCATCAACACAAAGCAGGTTGATCCTCTGGGGATATATTTTTTGGATTATTGGGAAAAAACTGGTTTGTTTGTGTTCTTCTCCTGAACCATCCCTCCCAGGCCACCATACCTCACTTCCTCGATGTGCTGAAGGCACTTCAGGTATTTCATGGACCTCTCTATGAAGTCCACATGGTCGCACGTCTGTCCGAAATCATCCATCCACCGATCAGAGCCCTGCAGGTGCTGGAGACAGAAAGCATCAGAGCATCAGAACCAACGTCTGTTTCTGGAGGAAAGTGGAAGAGATGCAGAAGAAGAGAAAATGCAGCAAAGCAGGAAGAAAATCAGCAGAAAAATAAAGATTAAAACTGTGAAACTGAACCCATCCAAACTAAAGACCAGGGAGACTAGATCCCTGCAGGAGACCAACTCAGGGGCCAGGGGGGGGGGTTACCATTAGGCAATACCCCAGGCAGGTGCCTAGGGCCCCAAGTTCCTGGGGGCCCCATAAAACTCTGTTCCTTATTTGTGCGCATTTATTATGTTTTTGATAAAAATCCTTTGGCTAAAATGTCATCAGACACTGATAATATTAAGTGTGTCTCAGCCCCCCCCCCCCCCCCCCCCCCCAGTGTCCACCATATTGGATCAGCCAACTTAGCGCTTTAGTCGCTATATTTAGCCACTTTTCAGACCCCTCTAGAACTTTGGTTTCTAAAAAGCTCCTAGCGCCAAATCTAGAGACTTTTTTCTGCTACTGGAGACTTTGGAGACAACATCTAAAAGCAGCGAACTCTGCTCTCCAGAGCCAGTAGATTGGTAACCCCGCCTCCTGCTCTCCTCTATCTTGTCTGCTGTCATGATTCATGCAGCTATTATTTCATCCAAATGAAAAATGGAGAACAGAGAAGCAGATCATGGCTTGTCTACAGTGAAAAGAAGGACTGGGTTATTTACTTTGGCCTTTTTGGAAACACAGGAAGGAGCAATCAGCTAAGTGAGCTTAGTGCTTGGAAACAATCTTTCATTCCTTTAGAGACAGCATGAAAAGTCAGCTGAGTACAAAACATAGAGAGGAAAACAAGAACAAGAGAGGGACAAGAAGAGAGGGACACAACCTAGAACAGATAATGGATGTCTATTCTATTAACATTTCTCTATCTGTAGAAGGGGGCTGTTTAATGAGTTGTCTTCTCAGTTCAGAGGGGCCCTGCCTGTCTTTCCGCCTCCATCTTTCCGCTGCAGACCTCCTACCCGCTGCAGACCTCCTACCCGCTGCAGACCTCCTACCCGCTGCAGACCTCCTACCCGCTGCAGACCTCCTACCCGCTGCAGACCTCCTGCCCGCTGCAGACCTCCCGCTGCAGACCTCCTACCCGCTGCAGTCCTCCTACCTGCTGCAGACCTCCTGCCTGCTGCAGACCTCCTACCTGCTGCAGACCTCCTACCTGCTGCAGACCTCCTACCTGCTGCAGACCTCCTACCCGCTGCAGACCTCAGCCCTCCTACCTGCTGCAGACCTCCTACCCGCTGCAGACCTCCTACCTGCTGCAGACCTCCTACCCGCTGCAGACCTCCTGTCTGCTTCAGACCTCCTACCTGCTGCAGCTTCCTACCTGCTGCAGCCTCCTACCTGCTGCAGACCTCCTACCCGCTGCAGACCTCAGCCCTCCTACCTGCTGCAGACCTCCTGCCTGCTGCAGACCTCCTGCCTGCTGCAGACCTCCTGCCTGCTGCAGACCTCCTGCCTGCTGCAGACCTCCTGCCTGCTGCAGACCTCCTGCCTGCTGCAGACCTCCTGCCTGCTGCAGACCTCCTACCCACTGCAGCTTCCTACCTGCTGCAGCCTCCTACCTGCTGCAGACCTCCTACCCGCTGCAGACCTCCTACCTGCTGCAGACCTCCTACCCGCTGCAGACCTCCTACCCGCTGCAGACCTCAGCCTTCCTACCTGCTGCAGCCTCCTACCTGCTGCAGACCTCCTACCCGCTGCAGACCTCAGCCCTCCTACCTGCTGCAGACCTCCTGCCTGCTGCAGACCTCCTACCCACTGCAGCTTCCTACCTGCTGCAGCCTCCTACCTGCTGCAGCCTCCTACCTGCTGCAGACCTCCTACCCGCTGCAGACCTCCTACCCGCTGCAGACCTCAGCCCTTCTACCTGCTGCAGACCTCCTACCCGCTGCAGACCTCCTGCCTGCTTCAGACCTCCTACCTGCTGCAGCTTCCTACCTGCTGCAGCCTCCTACCCACTGCAGCTTCCTACCTGCTGCAGCCTCCTACCTGCTGCAGACCTCCTACCTGCTGCAGCCTCCTACCTGCTGCAGACCTCCTACCTGCTGCAGGCCTCCTACCTGCTGCAGACCTCCCTCCTGCTGCAGACCTCCTACCCGGTGCAGACCTCAGCCCTCCTACCTGCTGCAGACCTCCTACCTGCTGCAGACCTCTTACCCGCTGCAGACCTCAGCCTTCCTACCTGCTGCAGACCTCCTGCCTATTGCAGGCCTCCTACCTGCTGCAGACCTCCTACCCGCTGCAGACCTCCTACCTGCTGCAGACCCCTACCCGCTGCAGACCTCCTGCCTGCTTCAGATCTCCTACCTGCTGCAGACCTCCTACCTGCTGCAGACCTCCTACCTGCTGCAGACCTCCTACCTGCTGCAGACCTCCTACCCGCTGCAGACCTCCTACCCGCTGCAGACCTCAGCCCTCCTACCTGCTGCAGACCTCCTACCCGCTGCAGACCTCCTGCCTGCTTCAGACCTCCTACCTGCTGCAGCTTCCTACCTGCTGCAGCCTCCTACCCACTGCAGCTTCCTACCTGCTGCAGCCTCCTACCTGCTGCAGACCTCCTACCTGCTGCAGCCTCCTACCTGCTGCAGACCTCCTACCTGCTGCAGGCCTCCTACCTGCTGCAGACCTCCCTCCTGCTGCAGACCTCCTACCCGGTGCAGACCTCAGCCCTCCTACCTGCTGCAGACCTCCTACCTGCTGCAGACCTCTTACCCGCTGCAGACCTCAGCCTTCCTACCTGCTGCAGACCTCCTGCCTATTGCAGGCCTCCTACCTGCTGCAGACCTCCTACCCGCTGCAGACCTCCTACCTGCTGCAGACCCCTACCCGCTGCAGACCTCCTGCCTGCTTCAGATCTCCTACCTGCTGCAGACCTCCTACCTGCTGCAGACCTCCTACCTGCTGCAAACCTCCTACCCGCTGCAGACCTCAGCCCTCCTACCTGCTGCAGACCTCCTGCCTATTGCAGACCTCCTACCTGCTGCAGACCTCCTACCCGCTGCAGACCTCCTACCTGCTGCAGACCTCCTACCTGCTGCAGACCTCCTACCCGCTGCAGACCTCCTACCTGCTGCAGACCTCCTACCCGCTGCAGACCTCAGCCTTCCTACCTGCTGCAGACCTCCTGCCTGCTGCAGACCTCCTACCTGCTGCAGACCTCCTACCTGCTGCAGACCTCCTACCTGCTGCAGACCTCCTACCCGCTGCAGACCTCAGCCCTCCTACCTGCTGCAGACCTCCTACCCGCTGCAGACCTCCTACCTGCTGCAGACCTCCTACCCGCTGCAGACCTCCTGCCTGCTTCAGACCTCCTACCTGCTGCAGCTTCCTACCTGCTGCAGCCTCCTACCTGCTGCAGACCTCCTACCCGCTGCAGACCTCAGCCCTCCTACCTGCTGCAGACCTCCTGCCTGCTGCAGACCTCCTACCCACTGCAGCTTCCTACCTGCTGCAGCCTCCTACCTGCTGCAGACCTCCTACCCGCTGCAGACCTCCTACCTGCTGCAGACCTCCTACCCGCTGCAGACCTCCTACCCGCTGCAGACCTCAGCCTTCCTACCTGCTGCAGCCTCCTACCTGCTGCAGACCTCCTACCCGCTGCAGACCTCAGCCCTCCTACCTGCTGCAGACCTCCTGCCTGCTGCAGACCTCCTACCCACTGCAGCTTCCTACCTGCTGCAGACCTCAGCCCTTCTACCTGCTGCAGACCTCCTGCCTGCTGCAGACCTCCTACCCACTGCAGCCTCCTACCCGCTGCAGACCTCAGCCCTTCTACCTGCTGCAGACCTCCTACCCGCTGCAGACCTCAGCCCTTCTACCCGCTGCAGACCTCCTACCCGCTGCAGACCTCAGCCCTTCTACCTGCTGCAGACCTCCTACCCGCTGCAGACCTCCTGCCTGCTTCAGACCTCCTACCTGCTGCAGCTTCCTACCTGCTGCAGCCTCCTACCCGCTGCAGACCTCCTACCCGCTGCAGACCTCAGCCCTCCTACCTGCTGCAGACCTCCTACCCGCTGCAGACCTCCTGCCTGCTTCAGACCTCCTACCTGCTGCAGCTTCCTACCTGCTGCAGCCTCCTACCTGCTTCAGACCTCCTACCCGCTGCAGACCTCAGCCCTCCTACCTGCTGCAGACCTCCTACCCGCTGCAGACCTCCTGCCTGCTTCAGACCTCCTACCTGCTGCAGCTTCCTACCTGCTGCAGCCTCCTACCTGCTGCAGACCTCCTACCCGCTGCAGACCTCAGCCTTCCTACCTGCTGCAGACCTCCTGCCTGCTGCAGACCTCCTGCCTGCTGCAGACCTCCTACCTGCTGCAGCCTCCTACCTGCTGCAGACCTACTACCCGCTGCAGACCTCAGCCTTCCTACCTGCTGCAGACCTCCTGCCTGCTGCAGACCTCCTACCTGCTGCAGACCTCCTACCTGCTGCAGACCTCCTACCCGCTGCAGACCTCAGCCCTCCTACCTGCTGCAGACCTCCTACCCGCTGCAGACCTCCTGCCTGCTTCAGACCTCCTACCTGCTGCAGCTTCCTACCTGCTGCAGCCTCCTACCTGCTTCAGACCTCCTACCCGCTGCAGACCTCAGCCCTCCTACCTGCTGCAGACCTCCTACCCGCTGCAGACCTCCTACCTGCTGCAGACCTCCTACCCGCTGCAGACCTCCTGCCTGCTTCAGACCTCCTACCTGCTGCAGCTTCCTACCTGCTGCAGCCTCCTACCTGCTGCAGACCTCCTACCCGCTGCAGACCTCAGCCCTCCTACCTGCTGCAGACCTCCTACCTGCTGCAGACCTCCTGCCTGCTGCAGACCTCCTACCCACTGCAGCTTCCTACCTGCTGCAGCCTCCTACCTGCTGCAGACCTCCTACCTGCTGCAGCCTCCTACCTGCTGCAGACCTCCTACCTGCTGCAGGCCTCCTACCTGCTGCAGACCTCCCTCCTGCTGCAGACCTCCTACCCGGTGCAGACCTCAGCCCTCCTACCTGCTGCAGACCTCCTACCTGCTGCAGACCTCCTACCCGCTGCAGACCTCAGCCTTCCTACCTGCTGCAGACCTCCTGCCTATTGCAGACCTCCTACCTGCTGCAGACCTCCTACCCGCTGCAGACCTCCTACCTGCTGCAGACCCCTACCCGCTGCAGACCTCCTGCCTGCTTCAGACCTCCTACCTGCTGCAGACCTCCTACCTGCTGCAGACCTCCTACCTGCTGCAGACCTCAGCCCTCCTACCTGCTGCAGACCTCCTGCCTGCTTCAGACCTCCTACCTGCTGCAGACCTCCTACCTGCTGCAGACCTCCTACCCGCTGCAGACCTCAGCCCTCCTACCTGCTGCAGACCTCCTGCCTATTGCAGACCTCCTACCTGCTGCAGACCTCCTACCCGCTGCAGACCTCCTACCCGCTGCAGACCTCCTACCTGCTGCAGACCTCCTACCCGCTGCAGACCTCCTACCTGCTGCAGCCTCCTACCTGCTGCAGACCTCCTACCTGCTGCAGACCTCCTACCCGCTGCAGACCTCAGCCTTCCTACCTGCTGCAGACCTCCTGCCTGCTGCAGACCTCCTACCTGCTGCAGACCTCCTACCTGCTGCAGACCTCCTACCCGCTGCAGACCTCAGCCCTCCTACCTGCTGCAGACCTCCTACCCGCTGCAGACCTCCTACCTGCTGCAGACCTCCTACCCGCTGCAGACCTCCTGCCTGCTTCAGACCTCCTACCTGCTGCAGCTTCCTACCTGCTGCAGCCTCCTACCTGCTGCAGACCTCCTACCCGCTGCAGACCTCAGCCCTCCTACCTGCTGCAGACCTCCTGCCTGCTGCAGACCTCCTACCCACTGCAGCTTCCTACCTGCTGCAGCCTCCTACCTGCTGCAGCCTCCTACCTGCTGCAGACCTCCTACCCGCTGCAGACCTCAGCCCTTCTACCTGCTGCAGACCTCCTGCCTGCTGCAGACCTCCTACCTGCTGCAGACCTCCTACCTGCTGCAGACCTCCTACCCGCTGCAGACCTCAGCCCTCCTACCTGCTGCAGACCTCCTACCCGCTGCAGACCTCCTACCCGCTGCAGACCTCCTACCTGCTGCAGACCTCCTACCTGCTGCAGACCTCCTACCCGCTGCAGACCTCAGCCCTCCTACCTGCTGCAGACCTCCTACCCGCTGCAGACCTCAGCCCTCCTACCTGCTGCAGACCTCCTGCCTGCTGCAGACCTCCTACCCACTGCAGCTTCCTACCTGCTGCAGCCTCCTACCTGCTGCAGCCTCCTACCTGCTGCAGACCTCCTACCCGCTGCAGACCTCAGCCCTTCTACCTGCTGCAGACCTCCTGCCTGCTGCAGACCTCCTACCTGCTGCAGACCTCCTACCTGCTGCAGACCTCCTACCCGCTGCAGACCTCAGCCCTCCTACCTGCTGCAGACCTCCTACCTGCTGCAGACCTCCTACCCGCTGCAGACCTCCTGCCTGCTTCAGACCTCCTACCTGCTGCAGCTTCCTACCTGCTGCAGCCTCCTACCTGCTGCAGACCTCCTACCCGCTGCAGACCTCAGCCCTCCTACCTGCTGCAGACCTCCTACCCGCTGCAGACCTCCTGCCTGCTTCAGACCTCCTACCTGCTGCAGCTTCCTACCTGCTGCAGCCTCCTACCCGCTGCAGACCTCCTACCCGCTGCAGACCTCAGCCCTCCTACCTGCTGCAGACCTCCTACCCGCTGCAGACCTCCTGCCTGCTTCAGACCTCCTACCTGCTGCAGCTTCCTACCTGCTGCAGCCTCCTACCTGCTTCAGACCTCCTACCCGCTTCAGACCTCCTACCCGCTGCAGACCTCAGCCCTCCTACCTGCTGCAGACCTCCTACCCGCTTCAGACCTCCTACCCGCTGCAGACCTCAGCCCTCCTACCTGCTGCAGACCTCCTACCCGCTGCAGACCTCCTGCCTGCTTCAGACCTCCTACCTGCTTCAGACCTCCTACCCGCTTCAGACCTCCTACCCGCTGCAGACCTCAGCCCTCCTACCTGCTGCAGACCTCCTACCTGCTGCAGCCTCCTACCTGCTTCAGACCTCCTACCCGCTGCAGACCTCAGCCCTCCTACCTGCTGCAGACCTCCTACCCGCTGCAGACCTCCTGCCTGCTTCAGACCTCCTACCTGCTGCAGCTTCCTACCTGCTGCAGCCTCCTACCTGCTGCAGACCTCCTACCCGCTGCAGACCTCAGCCTTCCTACCTGCTGCAGACCTCCTGCCTGCTGCAGACCTCCTGCCTGCTGCAGACCTCCTACCTGCTGCAGACCTCCTACCTGCTGCAGCTGCTCGGAGACCCGCTGCTCGCGCTGCAGCAGCTCCTCCAGGGAGCTGCGGACCTCCTCTGCAGCGGAGAGAGCCGCTGAAACTTTAGGAGGTCCAGAGCTGCTGCCACTCAGAACCTGAAGGAAAAACACAGATAAATATTATTCTGTTCAACAGAGAAATTGGTTTTTAAATAAAAAACTTGTAACATAATTTACCATAATCTCAGTACAGATTAGTGGGATTATTCAGTGATTGGGGTTAAAATGAGCAGATCTAACTGAAGCAGAGTCATTCATTTAACAGTTAATCCCATAATAATCTGTCAGAGGAAGTTTATGGAGTTATTTTCCAGCTTGTGGAGGATTTTCCTAACCTGCTCCTCCAGAGCTCTGCTTTCCTGTCGGACCTCCTCCAGCAGCCTGCAAACATCCCGCCATGATTTCAGATCTTCCTCCAGAAAGTCCTGCTCCTGTCCTCCATCATCAGCTCCTCCATCAGCTGCCATCACAACCTCGCTCTGTTTGCTCCTCACTGAAGCCATCTCCGCTCACAAACACCGCGGTGACGTGTTCAATCCGGGGCGGAGTCCGGAATAAGGAGCAGGTAGCGCCCCCAGCGGCTCGGCGGGAAATGGCAGGAAGTAAAAGACCTTTTTCTGTTGGTTTTCTAAACTTTCCTTTAATAATCCGAGTTGACAAATAAAAGCATCTCATTCTAATGAGAGATCTACTTTGGCAGACAGAGGATACAGCTTTAACATGAGTGCAGGAATGTTGCACTGATGTGAAATAAATGAGCTGTGGGCCAAGTTCTTAGAATAAGGTTTTCCTTTTTTATTCACTGAAAATATGCAGCAAACGTAGTCGAGATTTATTTTAAATATATATTACATTTAACCCTTTAAATGGGACTCAGTGAAATACTGTGAAAATCTAAATTTCCAGCAAAGAGCTGCGTTGTCCTTTTTATTTGATCATTAATAGAGGAGACGTTTTAACCACTTTGCCATTTTTATTCCATAGTTCATGTTAAATGACAAACAATTTTGTGTAAAATATCAATTCTTCCTCCAAAAGCTGAATTTACCAGATTAGTTAATGCCTTGCAAAAACAATTTATTGATCAGATTAAACATATAATAACATATTATATAACCCCCACAACTACCCACTTATCTATTAATAGAACAGCAATCATTGACCAAAAATTCAATAAACACATAATTAAGAACTGCCTAAAAATAAAACTTTATTCACTGGGAAATCTAATAAACTATAAAACTCACTTTAAAATTATAAATGTAATTTACCCCTCATAAGAACTACTATTATAGAATGAGAGGCTCATTCTAAAAAAGTGATAAACGCTAAACCATGTCTTCTATGAATAAAATCAAACCAAAACATTTTGGAATCGCTTAGAAAGATGGATCAAAATAAAAATAACCCTTCCTGAATCTATCTATAGAGATATGGGAACTTTACGAATAATGTTGAAAAACAAAACAATAGAACTCTGTTGTAATCTAATTTTGGGTTTAGCAAAATTCTTTAATTATAAACAAAGATTGTTGAGATCATCCTCAGTCTTTAATGTTTTTTTTTTTTAAAGCAAGTTATATTTAAAATCTCTTAAATGTATGGAATCATAGGAATATCTGACAGATGGGATCACCCACCAATGTTCATCAATCCTAACATGAATCCCCTTGTTGCTCTGTTAATTACTGTTCTATTATCATTATTTATTTATTCTTTTTTTTTTTTTTGGTTTGTTTTTGTACCTTATCAATGTTGCTTGTATTTCCATTTGAAATCTGCCTCTACTCTGCTTTCCACAGATTTGTATTGTTGCTGTTCCCTTGCTTTTTGTACTTACATTTTTAAATTGAAACACTTTGTTTCATAAGTAAGTATTTTACGTTCATTTAAAGAAAAAAAGATCTATTCCATATTTCCAGCATAACTTTATTACACAGGTCTACATCCAACAGCCTTACACCTCCAGCAGAGCTACTGCACAGTCCCTGAACCCTGTTGCATGCTGGGTATTGGTGTTCTAGAGTTCTGTGCTCATAATATCACAAGACTTTTATTGGAATATGATATTAAAATATGTATATTTTCATGGAAAAATTAAGGGCAATGTAATACAAAAAAAAAAGCCCACTTGTCCTAATATATTAAGAAAAATAATACTTCATCATAGTGCTTCTATGAGAAATCCATGAAAAACACCCACAGAGTGAAAGACACATTGTTTTGTTACATCATAGGTCTCTTACAGTTGTTAGTTTTTTAGTTTAGCTTATTAACTTTTTATCTTTTCAATGATCTTTTTTCTTACGTTTTTCTTAAAGGTATAGAGGATGATCTGTTATTTCGAGGTGGATCATCTAAATAAGTGGTCCTCCTAACTGTCAATCATTCTGGTGATGTGTTTACATGGTCGTCCCGTGAACTATCTTTTTCTGCGCTCTTTCAGGCGTATATCTGTGGTCTCACCAAGATTCTTTGAAAATAGCTGAAGGTCAGAAGAGAAAAAGTGTCTATGAACTGCAGGAGAAGAAAATAAAGGCCTTAGAGGCAGATATATCCCAGAATGCTTTGCATGGAGAGCTCTCCTCGCAAAGCATTATGGGATTTGCTGTCACAGCGGCCCGCTGTCGCTATAGGCTGTCGCTACCCAACAGCGGCAACTAATAAGAAAGATGGTGCAGGCACCGCGCGGTTAGAAGAGGAGTTACGTGACCAACGGAGCAAAAACGGGTGATCATCTGTCTGAACGGTCAGTTAACTGAGTTCACTATATAGTCCCCGCTCTATATAGTGATGGAGGGATTTAGGGGTTAAGGCGGACGGTCAGACACAGTAAGCTTGTATGAGTGACTTGTGCACGCACTAGCATGCGTTAAATAGGCGTTCTGTCAGTGGCAGTCCTGATTGTTGGGATCTGGAGGCTTGTCTAACTTTCTCCACCAGAGAGCGCCTGAGATCTTCCTCCTGAGGGCATGAGCTGACTTTGACACACCTGTTTTCCATCTGCTCATCATGAGCCCTTCATAAGGAGGAGGAGGCTGACACTTCCCTGCCAGAGTGTTTGCCAGTAATGGTACCAGCAAAAGCTGAGCCAGCTTCTCTGATCTGTTATCTGATTTTTGTGAACAAGTCTGACCCTGTGTTTTTCTGCCTCCCAGATCCTGACTTACCTGGATATCTGCCTAAACCTGGAGAAAGCAATCGCTTCCTGGAACCTGCCTGTCTGCCCTCCGCCTCAGCCTCTGTCTCAGTCTCTGCCCTCAGCACTCAGCCTGCTGACCAGCCTCTGGACCCAAAAGGTCCCCCCCCCCCCCCGCTGATAGAGAGGATCCAGTTTCCTGGATCCTCTCTAACAGTTCTGTCCTCCTCTAGTGCTTCCCTCCCGTGACCAGTCTGCTGAGCCAAGATCCAGTTCACATTTCTCTGTAAACTTGTAAATAAACCATTTAACTTTTTCCCTGTCTGAAGAGTGTTTCTGCATGAGGGTTAGACGCCTAGACCCCAACATGACATAACACTCTGGCCAACAATCTAACCACGCGGATTCACTCAATAGGACCTTGAAGCAGCTGCATGTCCTCCTTCAGAGCCATGACTCCGCCCTACAAGAGCTAAGTGAACGCCAAGCTGAGTCTAACCGCACCCTGCAAGAAATCACTGGTTTTCTTCAAAAGCCCAACTCACAGGCCGCTACACCTGCGGCTGAAGCCGTTCTACTTCCGGTTCAGGATCCCAACCCACCTCTCAGGTCAGAAAACTTACTCCACCCTTCATTTTCTGAATTCCGCCCATCCCTCCCAGAGAGATTCTCTGGTGAACCGAGTAAGTTCAAGGGATTTCTGTTACAATGTTCAATAATTTTTAATCATTCTCCTCAGAGCTTTTCTCAGGATGGAGGAAGGATTTCTTTTACTCTGTCACTCTGTCTGGTAAAGCCTTGGAGTGGGCGGAAGCCAAGCTCTCATCCAAGGCTGAGTATGGTTGTACTTATGGTGATTTCATAAAGGAATTTAAGCAAGCCTTCAACCAAGATACAGATAAACTGCAGAATCCCGTGGATTGCTAGAATTAAAGCAAGGAAATAGATCAGTGGCTGATTTTGCTATTGATTTCCGGATTAAAGCGGCAGCTTCCGGTTGGGGAGAAGCGGCGCTTAAGAGTGCTTATTTTCACTCCCTAGATGAGTCAATTAAAGACGAGTTGGCGACTTTAGATTAACCGAATTCCTTGGAGGATCTGATAAGACTGACTATCCGCTTAGATAACAGGCTGCAAGCCAGATCCGTAGCCAGATCCAAGAGCCGTATTTTCCCAGTCACAATGCTTCCTGAAAAATCTAATGAAAGATCTAATGAAGTTTCCTCTCCCACAGTGAACACTGAAGCCGAGCCAATGCAGATCGGTCACACCAGACTCTCATCAGAAGAAAGACAAAGGAGATTCAAACAAAACCTCTGCCTATACTGTGGAGAACCTGGACATTTTGTTTCCGCCTGCCCCGCTAAGGTAAAAGCTGGGGTCCGCCAGAGGAAATGAGGAGTCTGGCGGACCATCTTCAAACTGAAAAATCTCCTCGACTTCTGTTACCCGCTACTCTGTTTTATACAGATGAGTCCCTCACTTTGTCGGCTATGATTGACTCTGGTTGTGAAAGAAATCTATTCAACTCTAGTTTGGTCAAACAATTAAATATTGAGACTACTCCTTTGACTAAACCCCTGAGAGTTTCAGCTTTAGATGGTAAACAACTACCTCATATTACGCACCAGACCAAACCCCTAGAACTTTTAATCTCCGGGAATCATAGGGAAACCATATCATTTTATGTTTTTCCATCTGCAAGCTCATCAGTAGTTCTGGGTTTTGATTGGCTTCAACTCCACAACCCACATATTAACTGGTCTAAGAGACATGTGGAGTTCTGGTCTATTCCCTGTCGTTGTTCCTGCCTCCGTTCCGCCGCCCCTCCGACTCAGTCGCCGCCAAACCGTCAGGAGGCCGACCCTCCCGATCTCTCTGCTATACCTCCTGATTATCATGATTTTTGTCCGGTGTTCAGTAAGGCTAGAGCCCTTTCTCTCCCTCCGCACCGCCACCGCCCATATGATTGTGCCATCGATCTCCTCCCTGGGGCCCCACTTCCTAACAGTCGGCTTTATAACATTTCCAAACCTGAGAGGGAGACCATGGAGAAATATATCAATGAGACACTTGCGGCCGTAATAATCCGACCATCTTCTTCTCCACTTGGAGCTGGTTTCTTCTTCGTCAGCAAAAAAGACGGATCTCTGCAACCCCGTATTGTTTACCGAGGGTTAAACCAAATAACTATCAAGAACAAATACCCGTTGCCCCTGTTAGCTTCAGCCTTTGAACCGGTTCAGGGTGCCACTGTGTTCACCAAGTTAGACCTGAGAAATGCTTACCACCTTCTCAGAATCCGTGAAGGAGACGATTGGAAAACTGCCTTCAAAACACCTCTGGGGCATTTTGAATATCTGGTCATGCCTTTCGGTCTGTCAAACGCCCCCGCTTTTTTCCA